ATTAAAACTCCTAGGAGGTCATATTCCATAGAAGACCTCAAGAGGTTTTTTTCTATTGAGCACCTTAAGTGTTACTTTTCCAGAAAAGTCGTTAAGAGTTTTTTCTCCAGAAGACGTCGAAAGGTCTTTTGCATAAAAGATCGGGAAATGTTCTTCTATGAAAACCTAAAGAAAAATGTTCCTTTAAAAACCCCTTAGAAGGTCTTCTTCTAAGGAAGATCTCAAGTGAGCTTGGGGAGATCTTCTTCTATAGAAGATCTTATGCTTTAGTCCTCCTTCAATATAATAGTATTGAGGCCTTCCTCAATAAAATGTCTCAGGAAATCTCCTTCTGGAAGTCTTCTATATAAGAAGACCTCAAGAGATCTTTCTCTATGAAATAACTCAAAAGGTCTTCTCCAGTATATATCTTCAAAAGTCTTTCTAGCAAAAAAAAAAAAAAAAAAATCTCCTGAGATTTTTTGTCTATGAATTAGGTACACTTCTTTGCTACAAAGGACTTAAATACGTCTTTTTTGATACATACGACTGCAAGACGTCTTTCCGATATAGAGGTTCTTCGAAGGTATTTTCTTAGGAAAATCTCATAACCTCAACCCCTAATGGAAGAAGTTAATGGAGATTACTGCTGCTGAAAACCCGCCAAAGGTCGATTGGCCAAAGATGACAAGAAAAAATGTTTTCCATGAAATATCTCTAAACTTTGATTTTTAAAATGAGAATATTTTTCTTCGTAGGTCCTGAATACCGAACTCGGAGCTCTAATCGAGCCGATAAAATCAAATGTGTTGAATTTCGTCAACCCAGTTCGTGTCCTTGTTGCATGGCTTCAATGCGAAAGCAAAAATGTCCCAAAGCCTGTAAACATGATAATCCGGACAATTGTCAGCTAAGAAAATTCCAATCTTGTCTATGTTTGAAAATAGAGAAACGTTGTCAGGAAATGTGCCCCTGTGCCAAGGAAAAGGATTGTACCAGTGAAGAACATGATTATGAGAAGGATTTGTATCAAGATGAAGATTTGGAAATATCATCCAGCCAATGCGATCAAGGAGATGAAAATAATAACGAAAATGATAATCAAAATGAAGATAGTAAGAATTTTTATTGTGAGAGCGATAATGAAGAGATGGAGGAGGAGTACGATAGTCAATGCGATAATAGTGCAGAAGATAAAGAGTCGGATGAATGTGAATGTGATTTATCTCAAGAAGAGTCCCTCGACTGCAATAAAGAGGAAGATGATGAAAGTGAAGTTGATAATGATGAACACGTTTGTGATAGCAATGAAAATTCGGATAATGATGATGACGATGACGAGGAAGATAATGAAATCAACACTTCTGGTATAACAATTTGTCTTTGTGATGATCAGATGGGAAAATCGATGACAATATGCTATGGAAATAATGGATTTGAAATTCCGGAAATCGGGCCATGCAATCCACAGAATTTCACAGAAGTGAAAAGAAAGTCATGTGAAGAAAATGCTGTGATGGAAAAATGTGTGAATGAAGATAATAGTCAAGATGGAATTGTGGCAGATTTACCTAGTTGCCGCTGTTCAAGATTTAAAAAGCCCACAGATAGAGTGTCAAAAATGCACCAAGGCGGGGCTACTAAGGATTATGATGGCGTAGCCTTGGTGTGCCATTGCGACATGGTAGATTCGTCGTGTTTTTTATGCAGTAAGTAGATCTGTTTGTGAGGTATATTGATTAAAATAATTGGAATAGGGAGAATTTGAAATAATGGAGGTCCGTTTAAAAAAACTATTTTTCAAAAAAAAAAACAAGTAAACAAAGCAATAAGTTCGGCCGGGCCGAACTTTGAATACCCTCCACCATTTGGAAAGAATTAGAAAATTTTCAAAAAAATAAAATCTATTAAAAATTCTGTTAAAATCTTAAAAATATCGAATATCGTAAGGTGCCCATATATTGGGAAGATATACGATATTGTGGATCTATAAAGACAAATCTATGTCGGGGGGGGGGGGGGGGTAAGTACTCACAAGGAACTCCTTGTGTGGATTTTCAGATAATTCCATTGGGAAATGTGGCTAAAATCATTAAAAACTCGAATATCGGGGGTACCGTTATATGGGGGCTATACGATATCATGGTAAAGTAGGGGGTAAAGTAGTCGCGAAGAACTCTTTGTGTATTCGGTATTTTTCGACTTTTTTTTTTTTTTTTGAAAATTGTCATGTTCCTTCCGAAAGGTAGAGGATATAATAATCGGCCGAACTTGGTTGAAAAATATTATTTTCCGAAAAAGTTTATAAAATCACCATTTCCTTGTTTTAGCCTGCGAAGATTTACCAAATAATGGAGCAATGAAAGGACAGAATTGTAATCAGGGAAAAAGACAAAACTTTGCCAAAGAAAGACCCTCCTACCCATCGAAAACAGCGGAAAAGAGAGCATGCCAAAGTAAAGTATGTAAATGTAATTGCAATACCGAAGAATCCGAAGATAGTTGTTCCGAAGCAACTTCCTCAGAATTGGCCAGCGAGGATAGTATCTGCTCGAAGCCAGCATTTCGTCCCTCTGTCGTTTGTCACAATTTACAGGAGATTGAAAGATTATCAGCCGATGAAAATGAGTCACTTGATGAGTGTGATAAGAAACGAAATGGGAATGCCAATAAAGGGAAATCTAAGGAAAAAAGTAAGGAAGGTAAACCTTCGTCGGAAACAGAAACCAAAAGTCCCTCACGTTTCCAGAAAAATGAGAAGAAATCGAATGATCCAAATAAAATTGAAACAAGTGTGAAAGAGAAGGATCAAATTTCGAAGGATATTCAAATTTCAAACAGTAAACCCAGTACGGATAAGTCAAAATTGCTTCAAGAAAAACCTGCCAAATGTATGGAAAAGGACTTGAAAAATGGAAAAGACACCTCATATCCCAAGGCATCCGGAAATACAAATAGTGCTGTTCAAAGACAAAAATGCGGAGGTATACCTTCAAAAGATGAGAACGATGAAAAAGGCAATTGTCAGATGGAACCACAAAAGGCTACAGGATCGGAATTGAATGAGTGTGATAAAGAAATAGCCGATGAAGAAGTGCAAATCAAGGCTGGCCAGCAGAAATGTCGGATTTCAAATCCATCAAAAACCAAAGAGATGTCGAAAAAGGAGACTCAAAATCGACAATCCTCAAATGTGAGCAGAGGACAAAAAAGTTCAACAGCTGGTGGGTCAGGGTTAAGCCCCAACAGACCATGTCGGGAAGTTTTAGATCAGCAAAACAACAAAAACAACACCTCCATAAATAGAGCCATTTATAATGAAATGAAATCCTGTAAAAGAGAACTACAAAATTCGAAAGGGAGAGAGGAGGACATTCCTCAAAGAAAAACTCAGCGAACATTTGGGAGATGCCAAGATACCACGAGGAAGAATATGCCAGTTTCTACATTTGCTGGTATTGATTCAACGTTTAATGCCGGATCTGGATGCTGTTCTCAAGAGGATTATAGATCCTGTCCAACAACTGAAAATCAGGATACAATGTACGAAAACGAGTCATTTTGCCTTGACAAAGTGATGGGTCCAATTGTGGAGAGAAGTATGGGATGTTGTCCTCAAAATGCTCCAAGAAAATCTGAAAGGGGATGTTGCTCCGAAAATAATGGTAATGGACAGACATTTGTAAACCAAAGAATGGAATGTTCTCCAAGAACTTCTCAAAGAAAATGTGTGCAAATATCGAAAACAGGAAGGCCTGAAATTTCCAATCAGAACAATGATGAAAAACGTATAACTGAACGGTCACCCCAAAATACATCCCACAAAACAACAAAAATTATCCGCCCTAAACAATCTGGGTGTTCCACTCAAACAGGTCTGGGTAAACAGACCAGAAATATAGCTCAAGAATCACATAACGAAGATATTTGCAAAGATTCCCTGGCGAAACAAAATATATCTAATGTCGACGAATTAGGGAGTCCAGTTGGAAATCTAAAGCTAGTCCCTTGCTGTGACAGTCAGTTAGAATCAAGTCCTGCCAAACAAATACAGTGTTCTCCTCGAAATATTTCTAAGAAATCAGCACCGAAATCTGGATTTCAAGAATCTACATGTAGAACTGACAAGGATCACTGTAAAGAAGCCGAAAACGCAGAAACTTTAAGCAAAGCTGACAGGTGCAGTGGTATCAAGTCAAGACAAAATGAACCCCAAAAATTCAGAAAATCACCCCAAGACAAAAACTCTGCACGATGTGCTCAATTCGATAACTACAAACTGGATGAAGATAATTGCCAACATTTCCCTGAAGATAATTATTCTCCACGAAATATATCCTCGCAATTGACCAATAATCAAACCAAAACCACCTCAAATTCAATTTCCTGTACAGTATCCTGTCAAATACCCAAACTGGTGGTGGACAACATTTGTAGAACCTGCCATAAACAACTGACAGCATGTAGGTGCAACACAAAAAAGTTACAGTCTCAGAGAGCCTGTGAATCGATTGGTAACAACAAATTGAAAACAAATGCTAGGGTAATGTGTCAAGAAGCATCTACTCCGGTCGATAGCGAGCCAACAGAGACTGGTTGCGACAATTCAAAGGAGAAATCGAATTCAAATCAAAAACAAAGTAAATCTCAGTGCCAACGAAGTCCGACTACCAGCAGTTCTGGATCAAAAGCCAACGAGAACGATAATAACCAACAATGCCACCAAGAGCCTACTGTTCCGGAAGCTAATAAATCTATCAGTAGTTCTAAATCAAAATCCAATAAAAATGCCAAATAAAATTGGATGACTTTGATAGAACATGTAAATTAAGTTGGAGTGTTTAAATTACGGTCTGTTAGGAACAGAAGAGATCATTGGTAAAATAATAATTAAAATAAAATAATATACAAAATTTCCAACGTGAACAAATAATTTGAAAATATCAATCGGTTGTCCGACAGATATAAAATACAATATGTAACCAAAAGATGTTATCCATCGACGTAGCCATAAAAGGCTTTCGATACCGACTCGGGGGTCCTAATAGACAAGGAATGAGATTTTTCACGCAAATTTTCAGCAATTTCCCAAAATTGTATTTTTGTATGATTTTTAAAGCACAAAAATTATTTAAAAAGTAGAAAAAAATCTTCGATTTTTTGGCATGAAAACATTGGAAAAAAAGATTTTTAAAAATTTCACGCTTTTTGCCAGAACGAAGTCCAATTATGGTATCTTAAAAAAAAGTTAAACACCCACTATTTTAGGTCGTGAAAATTTGTAGTATCGGATATATTATATTGGACATGGCTTTTGAAACAAAGATTCTTAAAAAAATCATGTATTCCAAAATATATACAATACTTTTGGTTAGGATCTTCAATATTTTCTGTTAAATCGACGATTATAGCCAGAAGGCCCTTGAAGATAGAAATTGTTAAAAATTCATAATTTTTATTTCCGCAGCGACTTTTATTGCTCAGAAAATAATGAAAAAAAAATATTTTAAAAAATCTCCGACCCAAGACCAATTTCTTTCCACTGCTGTCATTTCTAAGCCACTCGTTCGACTGCTGTTTAAATTATTCCAATGAGAGCTAATTATATTGCGTACATGCGTACAAAAGCATTTTGGTGAGAATTTTCCAATAAAAAAGTTATTCGTGATTGAATTCAAGCGTGATAATGTGATTTCTTTATATTTGGCTGGAAAACCACAAGTGGCTATCGTTAGAGCACTCCAACATTAAAATGTGAATAAATCTTTTGTGTCTCGTACAGAAAGAAAACAGCAACATCAGCAGAAATGGTTCGAAAAGTAAAAAAGCGACTTGATCGAAACCTCGCGTTGTAGTGGCCGAAAAATGGTTCGTCAGCTGAACGTATCGCAACATTCCATTCGGCAAATATTGAAAAATGAGCTCTGGGTAAAGCCATTGAAATTCCAAAAAGTACGAGAACTTACAACGCAACAGAAAGAAAATAGACTCAACAGAGCTAAAGCGTTGCTTCGCTTGGCCGAAAGTGGTGAACTGCCGAATTTTGTTTTCTCCGATGAGAAAACATTCGTTGTCCAGCAGGTGGTAAACAAACAAAGTGATCGTGTTTACTTGCCAAAGATATCTGCTGAAAATGTTCACATTCGGTTGGCCACCAGAACTCAACCTCCGGCCATGGTGATGGTGTGGGCCGCCATAACAGCCGATGGTCGCTCTCCGCTCGTATTAATCAGAATAAATGCCGAATATTATAGCGAAAATATTCTGGAGGGTGTATTAAAGCCTTGGGCACGCAAACATTTTGGCCGCAGACTTTGGACATGCCAACAGGACTCAGCACCATCGCACTCAGTACGCGCCACCCAAGAATGGTTACGAAATGAGGTTCCTCGATTCATTTCCAGCGCACAATGACCACCAAAATCTCCGGATACCAATCCGTTGGACTATGGTGTATGAAGTATTTTGGAAAGCAAGGTTGGCACTAAAAAGTACCAAAGTGTCGATCACCTCAAGCAAGCGCTTCGCCGGGAATGGACCAAAATATCGCAGAGCAACATTCGGGCAGCGTGTGACGGTTTCATTGGCCGTTTGAATGCCATAATTCGTGCCAAAGGTGCCCAATTCCAACAAATCTAAACTTATTCTAAAATTTGATACTATTTCCGACATTTTGAGTTATGGAGTTTGAGTTTGTTGCTCTTTTTATGTTACCCTGTATAACCTTTCAAAATGCTCCAAATATGTGTTATTATCATTTCAGGATCCAGATATATGAGTCTTTGAATCCGGACAACCCGATTTTGTTCACTCCATTAAAATGATGTCAATGTTGGGCATAACAAGAGTAGAAAATCATAAGTCCTGACCTACATAAAAAGTATCAAATTTAGGAAACTTTGGTTCGCGAATTTAATTTTTGGACTAACAGCTCTGGATCCGGGTAAAATATTCACAGGTACTTTAGTATTTTGGAAGGATACGAGAGGAAGCTATAATTTTTGACTTGTATTTTAAAGACTCTCATAATGGGCCTTTTTAAGTTTTTTTGGGGGTTCTGCACAAAATTCAATTAAAAATTTAGAAAACAAAAACTTCCAGAATTAAGAAAATTTTCAAAAAAAAAAAAAAATGTAAAGAAAGTCTTAAAGTCGGACGGGGCCGATTTTATGATACCCTACACCACTTTGCTAATTTAGTAGAGCTCCACATAACAATTCAAAGTTTTTATGGGAGAATTCAATCATACACGCTATGATTATAATTATTATTTAAAGTTCAAAGGAGTAAATATGCCAATTTCAATAGGGTTCGTCCTTGGGCCAAACAAATGATCTGTGCAAAATTTTATCTGAATCGGGTAATAAATGCGAACTGTACTTTGTTCACAAAAATACATGGACAGACGGACGGACATGCATAAATCGACTCAGAATGTGATTCTATGCAGATCATCAAAAGGAAATGGGTCTATCTCGTTTCCTTTTTGCCTGTTACAAACAAATGCACAAAGACATAATGCCCTGACCACCTTGTGGTGTAGGGTATAAAAATCCGATAGTTTTTATTAAACTAGATTTTTGTTTCAGAATATTTTTGAAGGAAATTGCATTTTTTAAAAAAAATTGAATTATTTTAGGATATATTTTCAAGGACTACCAGAGTCATAAAATGAACATATGCTGGATATTCTCTCATGTGGAATATAAGGGATCTCAAAGTAGAACATTAGCATAAATGTATATATATCAAGGACATCTAAGCTATAATTGGGAATTGAAATTTTTGCAAAAATTGTCAGAGCTTCAAAATTAACATTTTCTTCATATATGAGAGAATGTATACTTCTTTTTCTCCCGGGAAATTTTTCAACATTTTGTTGAATAACAATCTTAAATTTAGTTGTAACAAGTCTACGTATTTAAACATCTAATAAATTTTTCGTTAGAAAACCCTTCCAACATGTATTCAACGTCAAACACCCCTGACCTATTGTAACTTGTCGTTTGAAAACACAAATTTATTTTCACACCTTGCCGCAACATTTTCCCTTTCCATCACTCCAACCCCGGGCATGCCATTACTCTTTGCACCGTTTTTTCCAGGAAAACAAACCCAGGTGACAGGGACACTTTTATCCTTGCTACAATTGACTTTTGTTAGGCCATGTTTCTTTGTGGAGCTCTTGTTGTTGTTATTGTCGTCATCATTGTGTAACCATCATTCTAATTATTTTGTAAACAATGAAATTAAAAAGCATTACTTATTACATTTTAATGACATTAATTACAACAGAGGGACGACCGACCGACCGACCGGCAGACGGATCGACCTTTGTTGAATTGTTGCTGAGTTTTGAGAAATGTTAATTAGCGAAATTTGTCACCGAACAAAGGCGATGGACTCAAAGAGGTGGTATGCGGATGTAGACGACATGTGTCGGCGTCAAAACAATTTAAAAAAGGTTCCATAAACACGGCATTTAAATTGTAATTTCTGTTGTAGATATACAATTTTAAACATCTCGTTATAAATCAAAATGTTATGAAATAAATACATGGAAAAAGATTTGTAGATTAGAAGTAGCTTTGAAATCATTACAGTAAATTTTAAATGGATAAAAATATATATAAATATATATTTAAAAATATAAATATAAATAAAAATATATAAATAAAATCCTTAAAAAATTCTGTTAAAATTTTAAAAATACCGAATATAGCCGTTATATTGGTGTCTATACGATGTGGACCCACACAGGCATTGTTTGTCATAAGTCATTACCAAATTCAAATTCGGAACTTGAAATAAACGGTGAATAATGTAGCTAAAATCATCAAAATATCGTATATAGGGAGGTACTATTATATCGGAGCTGTGCAAAGACCTGGACCAGCATTGACAATTTTCTGTCATAGGCTTTAGCATCCATTACGAACTTCAAATACGACATTTCAAACCATTTCGGTGAGTATTGTACTTAAACTCGTCAAAATACCGAATATATTGAGGTACTGGTATATGGGGCCTATACGAAGACCTGGACCTGCATAGACAATTTTCTGTCACAGACTGTTATTCCCATAACGAACTCTAAATACGTAATTTGAAACAATTCTGGTGAATAATGACGCTAAAATCATCAAAATACCGAATATTGGGAGGTACCGTTTTATGGTGGCTATACGAAGACGTGGACCTGCACAGACAATTTTCTGTCAGAGGCTGTAGTATCCATTTCGAACTTCAAATACCAAATTTGAAACAATTTCGGTGAATAATGTCGCTAAAATCATCAAAATACCGAATATCGGGATATACCTTTACATGGGGGCTATATGGAAACATGAACCTACATGACCCATTTACAAACTTAACCTGCCTACTGGAAAAATAAACATGTGTGCAAAATTTTAGCCTTCTATCTCAATTCGTTCGAAAAATAGCATGATTGCAACTGACAGACGGACAGGCGGACGGACAGACGGACTAGAATTTTGTTGGGTCTGAAATGAGTATTTCGAGGAGTTACAAACGGAATGACAAAGTTAATATACCCTCCGTACTATGGTAGAGGTTATGAAAAGAAAATATGTATTAGAAAATAATTTTTGTTTTCCCCAAATATTAACAGCTTTCCTACCCCAAGAAAAAAGGTATTTAATAAGAAAAAATCACACTAAGTTGCTTGTTTGAATATGACCTTTAACCTTTGTGTAACTTTTGAAACATAAACTGTATTTTACAATTACTTTAATGTCAGTAGGTGTCAATTCTTAATTTTATTTTTATTTTCACTTTGGGGGTAAACTTCAATACCAACTAACAGCAATTTCTTTTGTTTTGTTTTTTTCACAAAC